ATGCCTAAATGGTTAAGGAAAGAGATAATAATATTTCAAACAAGTATTTTAAACTATTTCCATGCGAAACATGCGAGGCTCCCAGATGTGCCACTAAGTTTTCAGGCTATTTCCATAGGGATGTTTTGTATAGACGACCCCCTGTGTTAAAGGTAAGGTATAAAGTTTCCAAAAGGGGATATAGAGCGACTGTTTTAAAGTTATTTAATGCCTAAATGGTTAAGGAAAGAGATAATAATATTTCAAACCCGTATTTTAAACTATTTCCATGCGAAAAATGCGAGGCTCCCAGATGTGCCACTAAGTTTTCAGGCTATGTCCATAGGGACGTTTCTATAGACAACCCCTTGTAGTAAAGGGAAGCGATATAGTTTCCAAGAAAGGATATAGAGCGACTGTTTTAAAGTTATTTAATGCCTAAATGGTTAAGGAAAGAGATAATAATATTTCAAACCCGTATTTTAAACTATTTCCATGCGAAAAATGCGAGGCTCCCAGATGTGCCACTAAGTTTTCAGGCTATTTCCATTCGGACGTTTGTATAGACAACCCCCAGTGGTAAAGGGAAGCTATATAGTTTTCACCAGGTGGTAGAGAGCGACTGTTTTAAAGTTATTTAATGCCTAAATGGTTAAGGAAAGAGATAATAATATTTCGAACCCGTATTTTAAACTATTTCCATGCGAAACATGCGAGGCTCCCAGATGTGCCACTAAGTTTTCAGGCTATTTCCATAGGGACGTTTGCATAGACAACCCCCTGTATTAAAGAGAAGCTATATTGTTTCCAAATGGGGGTATAGAGGGTCTGTTTTAGAGTTAGTTTATGCCTCAGTGGTTCAGAAAAGAGAAAATAATATTTCAAACACTTATTTCAAACTATTTTCATGCGAAAAATGCGAGGCTCCCAGATGTGCCACTAAGTTTTCAGACTATTTCCATAGGGACGTTTGTATAGACAACCCCTTGTAGTAAAGGGAAGCGATATAGTTTCCAAGAAAGGATATAGAGCGACTGTTTTAAAGTTATTGTATGCCTAAATGGTTAAGGAAAGAGATAATAGTATTTCACACACGTATTTTAAACTATTTCCATGCGAAACATGCGAGGCTCCCAGATGTGCCACTAAGTTTTCAGGCTATTTCCATTCGGACGTTTGTATAGACAACCCCCCGTGGTAAAGGGAAGCTATATAGTTTTCACCAGGTGGTATAGAGCGACTGTTTTAAAGTTATTGTATGCCTAAATGGTTCAGGAAAGAGATAATAGTATTTCAAACCCGTATTTAACTCTATTTCCATGCGAAACATGCGAGGCTCCCAGATGTGCCACTAAGTTTTCAGGCTATTTCCATAGGGACGTTTTGTATAGACGACCCCCTGTCTTAAAGGGAAGGTATAAAGTTCCCAAAAGGGGATATAGAGCGACTGTTTTAAAGTTATTTAATGCCTAAGTTATTAAGGAAAGATATAATAATATTTCAAACCCGTATTTTAAACTATTTCCATGCGAAAAATGCGAGGCTCCCAGATGTGCCACTAAGTTTTCAGGCTTTTCCCATAGGGACGTTTGTATAGACAACCCCCTGTGTTAAAGAGAAGCGATATAGTTTCCGAGACAGGATATAGAGCTACACCTTTTACTTCATTTTATGCCTAAATGGTGAAGTAAAGATATAATAATATTTTAAACCCGTAAATTAAACTATTTCCATGCGAAAAATGCGAGGCTCCCAGATGTGCCACTAAGTTTCAGGCTTTTTCCATAGGGACGTTTGCATAGACAACGCCCTGTGTTAAAGTGAAGGAATATTGTTTCCAAATGGGGGTATAGAGGGTCTGTTTTAGAGTTATTTTATGCCTGAGTGGTTCAGAAAAGAGAACATAATATTTCAAACACGTATTTCAAACTATTTCCATGCGAAACATGCGAGGCTCCCAGATGTGCCACTAAGTTTTCAGGCTATTTCAATAGGGATGTTTGTATAGACGACCCTCTGTGTTAAAGGGAAGCTATAAAGTTTCCAAAAGGGGATATAGAGCGACTGTTTTAAAGTTATTGTATGCCTAAATGGTTCAGGAAAGAGATAATAGTATTTCAAACCCGTATTTAACTCTATTTCCATGCGAAACATGCGAGGCTCCCAGATGTGCCAGTAAGTTTTCAGGCTATTTCCATAGGGACGTTTTGTATAGACAACCCCCTGTGTTAAAGGGAAGGTATAAAGTTTCCAAAAGGGGATATAGAGCGACTGTTTTAAAGTTATTTAATGCCTAAGTTATTAAGGAAAGAGATAATAATATTTCAAACCCGTATTTTAAACTATTTCCATGCGAAAAATGCGAGGCTCCCAGATGTGCCACTAAGTTTTCAGGCTATATCCATAGGGACGTTTGTATAGACAACCCCTTGTAGTAAAGGGAAGCTATATAGTTTCCAAGAAAGGATATAGAGCGACTGTTTTAAAGTTATTTAATGCCTAAATGGTTAAGGAAAGAGATAATAATATTTCAAACCCGTATTTTAAACTATTTCCATGCGAAAAATGCGAGGCTCCCAGATGTGCCACTAAGTTTTCAGGCTATATCCATAGGGACGTTTGTATAGACAACCCCTTGTAGTAAAGGGAAGCGATATAGTTTCCAAGAAAGGATATAGAGCGACTGTTTTAAAGTTATTGTATGCCTAAATGGTTCAGGAAAGAGATAATGATATTTCAAACACGTATTTTACTCTATTTCCATGCGAAACATGCGAGGCTCCCAGATGTGCCACTAAGTTTTCAGGCTATTTCCATAGGGACGTTTCCATAGACAACCCCTAGTGGTAAAGGGAAGCAATATAGTTTCCAAAAGGGGGTATAGAGCGACTGTTTTAAAGGTATTTTATGCCTAAATTGTTAAGGAAAGAGATAATAATATTTCAAACAAGTATTTTAAACTATTTCCATGCGAAACATGCGAGGCTCCCAGATGTGCCACTAAGTTTTCAGGCTTTTTTCCAATGGGACGTTTGTATAGACGACCCCCTATGTTAAAGGGAAGCTATATAGTTTTTGAGACAGGATATATAGCTACTCCTTTTACTTCATTTTATGCCTAAATGTTTAAGTAAAAAGATAATAATATTTCAAACCCGTATTTTAAACTATTTCCATGCGAAAAATGCGAGGCTCCCAGATGTGCCACTAAGTTTTCAGGCTTTTCCCATAGGGACGTTTGTATAGACAACCCCCTGTGTTAAAGAGAAGCGATATAGTTCCCGAGTGAGTGAGTTAAAAGTTAACCAGAGAGGTTGTAGATCGAAATGATTTACCAACAATTTTACAGGTTGGGAGTTATGCAGAAGAAGCATATGATGTGACTGTAATTCTCTTGACTTTACTACTAAGATAATCTAGTTTACCCTTTCTTTACCAATGTGTTGTATTTAACTTAGATTTTATGGTAATGTTGCAGCCATGTTTCATATTTCGTTTCCGATGAAACTTTGATCATTGGTAACATTACATAACATTTGCAAAGGATGGGCATACAAAAGAACTACACAAAGGTCAAACTACTGATCATATGAATCATATTATATATAGTAGCTTCACGCGATGTATGCTCAGTTGGTTTATAAGATTATTTGATGAGAAACAAATGCATTATAACACAAGAACATACTGATATATATCTTTACTATCTATATGGCTACTTTACCTATTTGACACGCTTGATGATAAAATAGTTGGAACTAATTGAAGATGATATTGTATAATATAAATGCATTCCCAGCCGGAAGTAAAGAACGTGTCGTCTGTTACAGACAGCTTGCAGATTAATTATCCAGCCGTCCTCGTCTTTATCAGTTAGGAGGTGGGAGATTTGTTCATGTGAACCTTCACTGAAGGGATTTGTTCCGGGGCCGCGCTGCAGTTTATTTGGCGATGTCGTATCAGATTACAAAAGTGCTGTCATCATTTGGCCTTGACGTGTTGACGGGAGAATGGCGTTGAGCAGCCGGCGGAGAGGGGTTCTTATTTAAGATGACCCAGACTGGAGAAATAGAATAAAAACGCATAATTGAATTCAATAGAAAAACACTGGAACATGCATGCTGAAACAGAACAGTGAACTAAAATGTACCTAAATATAGGTGGCTGGAGGGGTTGGTGCAGCGTTCGAAATACCTGCCTGCCCGACCGTCCGAGACGGGTTGATTTTAACTCGGGCTGTGAGATTTTCGAATCCCCCTGCCCGACGGTCGGGTTATATTTTATAGGTGAAAATATTCTAAATAATTCCCGATGATAAGCATTAATTCACATGTAAAGATGAATGATAAAATGTAACCAAAAAGAAACCCCGTTAGCTTTTAGCCAACCTAACATTTAGCGATGCGCTTATGCTACAAGCAATCAGTTTTCATATTTTTAATTAAACTATCCTGAGAAACATATGATTATAGCGGGCAGGCAGGTTTTGGTAAGGGCTGGCAAGTATTTCTGCTAGCCAGTCCTGTGGTCTGGCTGAAATTTTTGGGAGTTTCATACCCTGGTTGGTGGTGGGGAAATTAAAGGAAACATTATTCAGGAGCTCTTAACTGTTTGGACAATATTTTAAAAGAGTTCAATTTAACTATAAACCCCCACAGTATAGACTTTCTTGGTCAAACTCCTCTCACGGTATTTACTTTCGAAACAAGAATATTATATGAACAGGGTGTTATATACTACCTAGTATGCACTAGACAAATAATGTAACATGTGAATAAGTATAAGATATGTGAATAAGTACTATAATAAGACACAAAAATGTTATCAATGCTTTGGGAAAAGCCTGTGTAAGTCTATGCCTCCTGACCCCGGGTTCTATCAGATAAGGGACAGTCTCGCCACAACACAGCTGTTGCTGAAAGGGGATATAAACAATAACACAGAGATGTGGGTCAGCTCACTGGCACTTTTTACTGGCACATGTGCCGATCAGTGGCATGAGCCTTCCCCATATGGCCGACGGCCAGGCACCATGAGGGTTACGTCGCGCCTGTATTTGTTTCTTGCACACAGATCTAGCGAATTTCCAGCAGTTAGAATGGACTTTCACTTTGTGTGAGTTCACGGAGCCTTCAAAGTCGTGCAGTCTTTCAGGCTGAGAAAAGTAGGCTAGATCTAGCTCTGATTTGACCTTCCACGGTCAGATCACGGTTAACCAGTGACAACAAAATCTAGCCTAAACGAGGTCAACTTTAGGAGCTTGGGCTGTCCCTTCATATCGCACTCTACAGCTGACAACGCACGGGTCAGTAAAGGTTGATAAGTCATCATAACACGATTCAAGTATTGTCCTTTGTCATGTGTGTGTCATTCTTTTATTTTTTTATTTATCCTGTACATATTTAGAAATCTGGACTAATGTCAACCATTAACTTTTATTTGACTGGTTAAATGTCAAACGCACACGCGATTTCCGTTTGCGCAGTCGGCAAGTTCTCACTGTCTGTACGGTTCCTAAGGAGCAAACATCGAATACGGTAGGAATTTAAGACACTGTTCAATTACTTTGATGCATAACTGTAAATATAAAGACAGTGCCTCTTACACTTCGTGTTGCGGTTCTAGTGATATTGTCTCTGGTGATACACTTCTGAGCTTGTATTTTGGATTTGTAAATAGGCCTATAACACGTGAGGACACCGACACATGAAGTGTTGCACACAGCTTGCCTGTCATGTGGGTTACATGATCAGCTGCTGGTGTTGATGCCATCTCTGCATAACCGCCACGCGTCTGTCGCATGTTCTCCATAACTGTACAACGTAGTCAGGGAAATCTATTACCGACTGACATTCTTTTTCGCTGACCTCAATGTAGGGCCTGCATGTGATTTAATACGTAGCTTAATCAAGCGGCGGTGGCTGTGAGATTGGCCCTAGGACTGACACACACTTTTGCTTTGTCATTGGGCCTATTTCATGACCTAGAGCGGGTGGGGCAGTACTCGGAAAGTGGCAGTACCCGGACACCCAGCAAATTAACACGTGTACACAATAAACAAACGTACTGATGCGCAATCTCACCGGTCCCGCCTCCCCTAAAATACATGACCAGCCCCCTGGTGCACTCTGCTGTCTATATTCTTTATTTTGGAAAAATGTGTAGTAATATAATTATAATAATAATTTACTGTGTTCGACGTAATAAGCGTTCTCAAAATAAGAAATAGGGGGCTCTTATTAGAATATAATTTTGGTGAGAAAATGCTGACAGCCTGGAATTATACAAAAGAAAGGTCTGTGCGTATTATACACAGCAAATATATTTTTCCTGAATTTAATTGCCCATATTTAAGGGTGCATATAACACACGAGTGCATATTGTACACAAATAAATAAGGCTTGTGCACTTTGATCAGTCGGAAGGGGTGCTAATTGGGATTGTTCACTAGCCAATATATTAGCAAATATTGCCGTGATCACTTATTAGAGCGGGGTGCTTATTACGTCGAATACGGTAATGATATTAATAGTATTATAGATGGTCTGTCATTTGGCCATGCAAAATCACTGAACAAAGATTCTTCATTGCTTTGGTTTACTTAACTTTCAGACATTTATAAATATGTCAGGTCTTGTTACAAACTTCCGGTTTAAAAAAACCATATACCGAATTCAACGTAATAAGTGAATAGGGCGCTCTCAAAATTAGAAATAGGGGGCGCTTATTAGAATATTATTTTGAGTTTAAAGATCGTAAAATTCGTGCTTTATGCTAACAGCCTGAAATGTTTACATACGACAGATATATTTTTCAAGAATTTAATTGCCCATAATTAAGGGTGATATAAGGCGTATTATACACGAATAAATAAGTCTTGTGTACATTGATCAATCGAAAGGGGTGCTGATTGGGATTGTTCACTAGCCAATATATTAGCAAATATCGCCGTTGGCGCTTATTAGAGCGGGGCACTTATTACGTCGAATACGGTACATGTGTATTTACGTTTTAGATGCCATAACCAGAAAGTTTAATGGTTCAAGCTCCATTTTTAAGAAAGTTATTATGATGAAATAAAAGGACATTCCAAGTATTGATATTTGCTAGAGACAAATAACATTAGGGCATTTGAGAAAATACATTTTTGATGTCATAGACAATGAACAGATCCGATACCAGTATTTCATATATTTTCACTTAATCATGTTAATCTTCGTTATGTTCGAGGGAGAAAAATAAATGGAAGATATTAAGGTTTTAACAAAAACAATCACTTTTCCAGCTGAGTGCTATTGTGTATGTGTAACTAATGCACCTAACATGTTAATATTATAACAATCCAGATATGACAAGTCGGCTCGTGAGACCAGCCCTTCAGCCATTAAAGATGCAATATCAAGTGCGTTCTTACAATGGCTCCACTTCCGCCAGGCCAACTAAAGATGGCTGCCATGTCGTGGACCTGCGTAGTGACACCGTTACTAAACCAACAACAGCGATGCGACAAGCCATGGCCACTGCTGAAGTTGGTGATGATGTCATGGGCGAAGACCCTACTGTAAATGGTAGGTGGAAGAATGTGTGACTGAGTTGTGTTGTACTGTGTCTTGGTGGATATTCATGTTAAACTGTGACATGGTGCCTCAGTGGGCTAGCATGATAGTACTGGCATTAGTCCGGGCTATTACAAGCAGCCACACACACGTGCATTCACATTTCTATAAAAGAGCAAGAATCTTTATGTGATGTTAAACCCCATTTTGCCTAAGCAGTTCTGTCTTGACTTGTGCTTCTTTTTTGAGAATTGTTTGAAAGTGTCTGTTCCCTGATATTCTGTTGGCAGAACTTCAAAGACGATGTTCCGCTTTGTTTGGAACTGAAGATTCTCTCCTGGTACCGTCAGGAACTATGGGCAACCTTATTTCAGGTTATTATTGTAGTGACTTCAGTGAATATTTCTATTTTTCATTTCGAGTGCAATATTCAAATTCCTAAATGACAACTGATCTACTTGGCTTCTGGTAAAAGTATCACAGTAAAACAAACCAAGTAATATCTGTTACTGATTGTTTTAGAAATTTATACTGGAAAACAAGGTCAAAGTGTGTATGTTATGTTGTCTGCATTTAAGAATGTAATCAAACGAACATTTTGTCTTTTTGTTCCCCTTCATGTAGTGGTCAACCATTGTCAAGGGCGATTCCAGGAAGCCATTGTGGGTGATCGGTCACATATGTTTCTGTATGAAGTTGGCAGTATGGCACAGGTTGGTGCAATTCATAGCTCACACATTCAATGATGTCAGAATTCTAATATTATAGTAAACTGGAGTGTTATATTCTTCCCTAACCCCAAAAGATATTGACATACATATTGAAAGACATTAGCACATAAACTATATAAATGTATGTGTGATGTCATTATGTACAAATTGATAATGTCATTGTTAGAATCATCAAAACAGCAATGACCAACTGCAAAACCCAAAAGTAACACCACTAAAAATTCACACCTCATGAGAACCATGGGATCGATGCTCGTGCATGTTCTGAATGGGAAACAACATGAATAGATCTATCTATACAGGTGAGGTGTTCTTGGCTGCCAGATCGTTGTCTGTCAGCAGCTATTCAACTGCGAAGACATACATGTCATTGGACAATCGGAAACAGGAGAATTGCAGTCGTCTCTAGCGAGCATATTCAAGCCTCCCAGAGCACCATCTCTCGACTTAATCGGTACCAACAGCATGGTACTTTATGTGACCAACCCAGGTCAGGCAGACCCAGTTTTAAGGGCCACATTCCACAAAGCGATCTTAGTGTTTGTTTTGATCATCATGCACTGCGACATCAGTGGTGTCAGGTACGCAACTCTTATGCTGCTATGAGCTTATAGGAGTGATTAAAATTTAATGTCGCATCAGCATTTTTTCAGCCATATGGCGTCGAGCTGATAGGAAAGCCAGAGTGTACCAAAGTTGCCATGATCCTTTTGCCACCAACTGCATATGGGAGGTCGACAGATTTGGTGGTCCAAACCTAATGAAGTGGGCAGAACCTCCCACACAGGAGAACACTTGAGTTCTTGACTTTGGCACTTTCTGTGTCGTGTCTTCATACTGGACATGTGACCACTGTACGCAATGTCATCATTCATCAGGTGTTCAGATGTGCAGCAAATGTGATTATAGGTTTCCAGTTTTGGAGAGGCCTATCTGAAGATAATTGTGGTGGTGATGGTGGCAATGATGATGATTAGTGAGTGAGTGAGTGAGTTGGGTTTTACGCCTCTTTTAACATTATTCCAGTTATATCACAGCGTGTCAGCTTAATGTGGAAGGAAAGCCCGAAGTGATGCAGGTCTCAGACGTTTACCACTTCGGTTAAACCAACATGCACGGGTATGGTGCTGACAAATCTAGAAACATAATCGGGGCGTGACCGGATGATGATGATGATGATGATGATGCTGTATCGAGGTAAAGTGGTATTGATGGTGGTGGATAGGGATACTGAGATATTTCACACTATATACATAGACATATTTTTTTAACTTTTCCTGCTTTACTCCTCAATGCATCATTTACTGGTGTTTTTTGACAGAAAGACGAACTGTGTGAGGTCCAGCTGCTTAAGAAAAGTTGTTCCAACCAGTAACTGGCAGCACCCTCGCACAGTCGGCACATGACCCGGATGAGATGATGTCACATAAGATCACATTACTGCTTTGTCAGCTACACGAACGGACGTGTATCCACTGTGGAAATAAAGCTTATTGTTTGCATTTGATTTTAGGATTTGCAAAGCATGTGCACCGCCAACTCGTTGTCAGCAGATTTTTTCCAAATCTTTTCATGTTTTTAATCAAGGTGCTCACGTGATTTGATGCATTTTGCGATGTAAGACCCGTTTTATCACAATATAGATCTTGATTATCGATCAGATCGTCCTGACTGAGCGCCACCATTTTGTGTGAAGCAAACGCAAGTGATACGAGAGGTGGAATCTGACTGGTCAATAGGAGAGGCTTAGAAGGGACATAATTGGTAATAGCCACTGGTGGCGCAACGATCGAGCCCAGTAATTCCAGCCTAGTTCGGCAAGGGTGGAAACTGGACTTTTGAAGTCAGTTAACTCCCTTGCCTCGGGAAGATGTCAAGTTCCCAGAGACAGGTATTTGAAGATTCTCACCCACCTCCGTCCTGCCCTGCATCAACTCTTTACCAGTGGCAGATGTTATAAGGTCTTCTCACCTCGGCTCAAGACCCAGGGATAATTCTAGTGGGGCCTTGTACTTTTAGCCCCTAAATTTGAAAAAAGGCACACATTTTCAAATACAATGGGGCTTTTTAACATTGTGCTGCATGTGCCAGTGTCGGTGTACCTCTGGACTATTTGAAATTTCCACATAAACGGCCCACATCAGAAAATTCCTAGAGTGGACCCTGAAGACCTGACTGCCAGGGCCGACTCTCACCCCCTTCGTTCAGCACCAGGATCTGGAGATGCCTATCATCCTCCCGGTTTACCTGCAGTGGTGGACGGTGGAATCGAATGTCTTTGATGGGGTTTCCTTGACCATGCTACATCCCATGCTCCACCTGTTTGTGGAGATCAACTCCATTGGCATAACAACAACCTCTTTCTAGAAGTGCTTATCCTGGCAGTCACTCACTTGCAGAGCACTCTACGTCGGGCCTAGGTTACAATATCTATGGACAACATCACCTCCGGAACCAGGATACTTTCCACTCTCATATCTGGTAAACCAGACTTCCGCTTCTTCGACCTGGTGGACGGCCTGGACCTGCAATTCCTCATTCAGCACATTCCACGTTGCAAGAATGTTCTTGCAGACCAGACATGTTCACCTGATCTGCCCAAAAATCGACTCCACGAAAATCGATCTGTTTGCCAAATTCCAGAACTGCCAGCTGAAAACCTACATCTCAATGGAGCCGGATCCGTCAGCAGTGGCAGACAACGGCCTCGGTGTTCCCTGGGAAGGATTAAGCGCATACGCTTTTCTGGGGTGCCGACGATGAGGGTTTTCCTGTGACGATCAAAAGCCTTACAAAAGTCTAGGAAATACCTTTTCTGCTGGTCTCTCCTTCGTCGCAGACAGAGGTCAGCTGGAATACTATTTCCTTGTGGCTCCGAGCAGTCATCCTACAAGTTTAACGGATAGGACAACCCCCACGAGATCAGAGCAGTATCTACCATGGTTCTTCACAGTACCTGCTCCATCAAATGGATCATGGAAGGCTGCTTTTGGCAATCCGAACCTGTCTTCTCCAGCCCCTTACTTCATGATGTAGCCTTGGAAGATGTCGCCGGCAACCACAGCTTTGGTCCCCTGGTGCTAGCTCAACAGGTCACCAATCCCCGACCGCCCCTCATTCTCTGATTCACTGAGCGGGGCCGTTGAAATCACCGTGGTTCATCATCCAAGATTAGAGGGCTCTACTGTGTTCTGCATTCGCTCTTAGGTCAGTTCTAGATTTTGGCTACCTGCCTCATTCTATTTCTGTCACCTATTTGGGTTTTCCTGTGGCTCGTTTTCATCTGACAAGAATGGTCATGGATTTTCTGGTCATCACTTGGATGCGACGCAGATTCATTGGACCTTGACGAGGGTTTATCATGGATCACATCTGAAGGTATGCCCACCTGCCTTACCATCAGATAAAGATGCATAAAGGAGTTATACATATTTTTTACATTTGTATACTTATCTTGCATTACTACCTCTAAGTGCCCTACCTTTGATGCACTACCTCCCCACAATGTTCAGATGTTAGGTTTGCAGCAGTAATGTGTTCTTATGTGATGTCATCGTTTCCGGGCCACGTGCCGACTGTGCCAGGGTGCTGCTTACTGGTTGGTACAACTTTTCTTTAGCAGCTGGACCTTACACAGTTCGTCTTTCTGTCAAATAACAGCAGTAAATGCATTGATGAGTAATGCAGGATAAGTGTACAAATGTAAAAAGTATTTAGATTTTACTAATTATAAGCGATCAGTTTGCAGGGGTACAGTGTTACACAGCCCCCAACCAGGCAGATGGTACGATCCTGCTGGAGGATATCCGCAACCGTATTCGGGTCAAGGACGATGATCATCTCCCATGGACCAAGCTCATCTGTCTTGAAAATACCCAAAACAAGTGTGGGGGCAAAGTATTACCACTGAGCTACCTAGCAGAGGTAGGAAAATACTCTCAAGTGTGGGGGCAAAGTATTACCACTGAGCTACCTAGCAGAGGTAGGAAAATACTCTCAAGTGTGGGGGCAAAGTATTACCACTGAGCTACCTAGCAGAGGTAGGAAAATACTCTCAAGTGTGGGGGCAAAGTATTACCACTGAGTTACCTAGCAGAGGTAGGAAAATACTCTCAAGTGTGGGGGCAAAGTATTACCACTGAGCTACCTAGCAGAGGTAGGAAAATACTCTCAAGTGTGGGGGCAAAGTATTACCACTGAGCTACCTAGCAGAGGTAGGAAAATACTCTCAAGTGTGGGGGCAAAGTATTACCACTGAGCTACCTAGCAGAGGTAGGAAAATACTCTCAAGTGTGGGGGCAAAGAAATACCACTTAATTGCCATACTATCCCACCTATGGTATCTCTAAATAGTGTGTGTAGAATTTTAAACATGAAGGCTATATTCATTATTATGTAGTTTGTGGAATGACACACAACAGGTTTGATAAATCTGTGACCTTTTACCTTATTGTACCTCTTTTTAGCTAGAGTTACAGCAACCCCGGAAACTGCAGGACCTATAAAGTTTAAATATCATCTTGGCCATCTTTTTTCCAAAATGAACATACATGTATTTGATTGGATGGTTATTTTAAGTATCATGTCATCTGAATCAGGATGAAAATGAAGCTGTGGTGGCAAATTGATCAAGAGTATTGATCATTTTTGAATGGAACTATAATATACTGGATAATGGACAATGCAGTCAATATTAGTGTTTTGGTTTGTAAGTCCTCGATATGTATGTACTTGTTACCAGGTGAAGAGTCTAGCGAATGAGAAGGGTGTGAAACTTCACCTTGACGGAGCCAGGGTGTTCAATGCGGCCACAGCCCTGGATGTGCCTGTCTCGGACATTGTACAACATGTGGACTCTGTCAGTGTTTGTTTCTCAAAGGTAAGTACAAGATAGTTGCAACAAGCACCTGTTTGCTGGTACAGTAGCAGAGATCCTCCTTCTCAAAATCAAATCTTAGTGCTTGCTGTCGCTGCACACAGATCTGAGAACAACCCATGACCTCAGAACGACCTTTCATCCCACCAATCAGAGCATCGCTAAAATCTGATCATGAAAGTCTGAATGTGTTTTCTAATCTTGCAACCTCAAAAACGTTAACATGAGGGATTCCCAACCAGAGCTACGAGCAGTATGATTGATTCAGTCAAATTCATCATCTATCTCTCGCTTCAATGGGATAAACATTTGAAATGGAAGAGACTTTTTCGTGGCCCACGGGAAGTGCTGCCATACAATCTCGAACATTTTTGGACATTCCAGAACTTTCTTTTTTCAGTTATCAAATTTTAAATCAACGACTCTTGTAAACATATTTTTCAAGGCATAATCTGAAACGTAAGTCACCAGTTTAAAACTTGTGCCATATGCTAAAGAAAGCTGCTTTCTTTTTGTTTTTTGTCAACTTCTTTTTAGAAATTTCATTGGTTGTTCAAAGTTTGTGAAAGTTTGTTCTGATGTGACCTGTTATTGGATATCCTCAGGTCTTTGTGTGTCGGTTGGGAGCATAAAGGTCTGATTTTAATGAGATTGCAGAGATCCTCAGAAGCAGATCCAGGATTTGAAAAAGGTGATGGGGTGTACCCAAGTCACATAGTGTAAAGAAACACGGGATAGGTAGACCTGGGATAGGTTGACCTGTAAGGGGTCTAGACAAAGGAGGGTACTTGTCCAGTGATCCAGGGTGCCTTTGTACAAAGCGATCTTCGCGCTAAGGTGATCATAACTCCCATACCTTAACATAGACTCACAACAGTCGTAGTGCTAAGGTTGTTTTGTACAATGGCACCCTGGTGTAGAAGTTTAAAGCAGATAGCATCATGGTCCTTTCATTTCTGAAGTTAATTAAACTTTGTACTTGAGAGAGTACTTGCTGGAAGAAAGTTTTCAGCTTATATGGCAGTGTAATGGTCGGACTACCACTGTATGTTGTCACCCATGCATCGCGTGCACTCATTTGCAGGGGCTTGCATGTCCAGTTGGCTCTATACTTGCCGGAACAAAAGACTTCATCTCCATGTAAGTATGTAAGTTACAGTTTCATGCACCATACTAGTGTGAACTTGTAGTCCAGATTCACATGATAAGAGGTAAGGGACTGTCATTTATTATAGGGTTGGGGGTTTGGAGGTTGGGGGTCAAACAAATGAATGTTTAAGAGCATTGTAACGACATTCGCTGTCAAACGACCATTCATGTATATAAACATGCAGTAAACTGGCCTACAACTGACTATCGGCTGCTTGCTGTCAGCTGTCAAGATGGTGCTCACTATTTTGAAAATATGAGAGGGTGTGCAACCCATAAAAGATTGATATGCCTGTCCTTTGCCAGTGCTATGAGCTTTGTGAAACCTTCAATAAGTTTGCTTGTGGGGAACTTGCCAATTGAGGATAAATTCATAATCACACGAGTACAATATGCAGCAGTGAAATCAAAAATAGGTTTGACACAGTTTCATCCAACTGTTGCTGTTGAAATCAATGTTTATTTATTTTATCATCCAAAACTGGCTCCAACAGGAGATATTGCCTGGGTGATCAAGTGATATCTACATGGGGGCTCTGCTGCTGAAGCTGTTAGCAGTACTTTTTACACTTAAGACACTGCTAATTACTGTCTACAAACTGAAAAAGTTGGAAGAATGATGTTGGGTGATAAATAAAATCTCACCCTCGTGTCTTTTGAAATCAAATATATCAACTTCTTTGAGTGGCATTTAGAAGTTGGAATGGTAACTAAGACAAAAATTGTTAAGGATGAGCAACTTCTTTATTACAATTGGGCGACGTTTCGGTGTAGATACTAACACCTTCATCAAGCAAATGATGTACAAACTACTTACTTACTTACTTACTTTGGAGATTTAACGTGCGCTTTCCGACTGATGCGTATTTCGCACACGGGCCCGGCCAGGCCATTTAATGTGTTTCCGAAAGGGGCGAAAGTGGTCTGTGCAACCCAAGAGGGGGGTTTAGGGGTTGCTTATATAGAATTTGTGAATTTTGAGATTTGGAATAGACTAGGTACAAACTACTTACTTACTTACTTACTTACTTTGGAGATTTAACGTGCGCTTTCCGACTGATGTGTATTTCGCACACTGGCCCGGCCAGGCCATTTAATGTGTTTCCGAAAGGGGCGAAGGTGGTCTGTGCAACCCAAGAGGGGGGTTTTAGGGGTTGCTTATATAGAATTTGGGAATTTTGAGATTTGGAATAGATGCCGATGGGATTTGGGAGGAGAACTAAGGGAGCTGGGTATGGTGGATGTTTGTTTGTTTATGTGATGTTGATTTGGTAGGTTATTGTGTTTTTAGATGCGTTTTATTAGTTCCGTTTTTATTAAGAATACGCCTAAGGCCTTGAAGTTTTCTAGTTTATTTTGTGGGTTTAGTATTGCTTCTAGAGTTAGAGCCTTGTTTAGATTGAGGGTGGTTTGTAATGCGGTTCGATGTGTTAGGTAGTGTGTGCAGTGGATGAGTGTGTGTTCTGGGGTTTCTGATTGTTTGCAGTGTGGGCAGTTACCTGTAGTGTGTTTTTCTAAAAAAATTTAGGTGGTTATTTAGGTTGGTGTGTCCTGTTTGGAGTTTAGTGATTACTCTGTCGATTTTTTTGGATGGATGGAGAATTTTTGGTTTGGTTAGTGGTTTGCTGAGCACTTTTTTGATATGGCTATTTGAGTTTAGATATAGGTTATGCCATTTTTTTGTGATTTTTTGCTTGTTTACACTTTTAATTTCTGATTTTGAGATGGGTAAGTTTAAGCTTATTTCTGGGATTTTGAGGGATAGTTTAGCTGCTTTATCGGCGTTTTCATTACCGTATATTCCTATGTGGGCGGGTATCCACAAGAAGGTTATTTGTTTGCCTGCCTTAGTTAGGTCATTGGAGCTTTTAAGTATTTGATTTATTAATTTAGGTCGGTTTTTGGTATTTTTGTTTTGGGGGGCTTGCAGTCCTTTTAGGGAGTCGGTAAGTATTAGGATTTTTTTGTGTTTTTTTTATTCTTGATTATGGAGGGCTGAGGCCATGCCCATTAGTTCTGCCGTGAATATTGATTGGTTGTTTGGGAGTCGGAAGGATTGTGTGGTTTTAGTTGGTTGTGTGGTATGGACTCCGAAACCTGTGTGTTTGGAGGTCGGATCTGAGGATCCGTCTGTGTAAATGTGACACCAATTTGGCCAATTTTCGTGTATGTATGCTAGTGTGGTAGTTTTAGCTATGTTTGGGTCATTTTTTTTATTTATTTGGCTAGCTAGTGTTGTGTCTATTTTGGGTATTTTAAGTTAAGGGGTGAAGATATTTGATTGTTTGCAGTTTTGTTTAAGATTTTTAATTTGGTGTTCATTTAGGTAGTTTGTTATTCTTTGGGATATTGGGGTAAGTAAGGGTGTTTACAAGCTAGAGCTTGGTTTTTGGGGCTGATGTTTTGGTTTATTAAGTTTTGGATGAGAGGGTTTGATTGGGACGCGGCCCAGGTACAAACTAGGTATGAGCATGATATATATACATAACAATAGATAGATGTTTATATAACAGATAAGGCTGATGTACACTGATTGATTAGGTAGTTATGATAAGACAAGTTTATACAAGAGATGGGGTTGATGTACAGTAATTGATGGGTATGGGATTAACACAAGGATTACTAAGAAGGAATGTATGGGAAGCCAGTGGGGAGATAATAGTTCAGTGTTGTTTTGGCGAGCTAATGAGATCATGGTAAGCTGGAGGGATGTAGTATCCTTGATCTCTGTTTATGGCTGGCTGAATTCTTTTGATGCAAATGGCTTCTCTAAATTTTCTGAGCTTGAAGTCTTTCTGGTTTGTTGTTAAGATGTCGACGTTGTCCCACTTAATATTGTGGCTGGGGTGGATTTGGGTGTGGTCAGAGATAGCAGATTTAGAGTCCTTTTTAACTTCAAGACCTCTCAACCAACGCTTAAAAGAACATCATGCCTCTGTCCTAAATAAAGACTCTAAATCTGCTATCTCTTTATCTTTGTTGTTTCAGTCAGTCAAGGTGTCCAGTCTTAACTTGACGACTTAATTAGAAAAAAAAAAGTCAGAAGGGATGCATAATTTGTAAATGTGAACATTACTGACTTTAAGTGAAACCATCAAATTTTATTGTTAAAAGTTTTTAAGTTAAAGAAAACCTAATTTAAAAAAATTATGATTTGAAAATCACCATGAAAGCAGTCATTTCATGAATGACTTTGATGTAGGTCTTTTCTAACAAGCATTAAATAGGCGCTATCATTTTTAAGTAACTACATTGTTTGGTCTTGCAAGATATGTTTAATCAAGATGTTGTAATGGTGACTTGTCCTTGAAGAAATTCCATTGTGAAATATTTAGGCCATGTGTTACGTTACGTCTTCCAGCCTTTTTGTATAACTCGGTTATTTTTTATGTATTTTTAATGTATTGTCATGTTGGCATACTTCTCAGGGCACGGAGAACAAGAAAAGCTCTGGGAGGTGGTATGAGACAAGCAGGCATACTTGCTGCAGCCATGTTGTCGTCTCTTGATACAATAGTGCCTCGCCTCCACGAAGATCACTCCAGGGCAAAGAAGATAGCTGAAGGTATAATCACAAGAGTGCATCGAGTGTATTCACAATGAGTGAAATAACTTTCCAACATTAGCACGTTTGCGGAAGGGTTTCTTATGTTGATGCTCCCATGGTGATTCTGGCTTAGAATTGGTCTCCTGCAAGATATGTTTGTTTGTTTATTTAATGATGCACTCAGAAATAGTCTAGGTATGTGATTGTAACCTGTAAATAATCAGTCTGGATCAGGCAATTCAGTGATAAATATACTTTGGCCTCAGTAAACTGGACAAACACATGAAAAATGAACATATGGACACACTTAATGCACAGTTTGATTCCCAAATATTCCTGTGGATTCAGAAGTTGAAAAGGGTATCATCAATCTGTCTGTTACAAGGAAAGTATTATAGGAATTACACCAGGAACACAGGATGAAACAATCTGTACATTTGTTCTACGTATATATAAGTCTGCGGTGAAATCATCAGACGCAACTGACAATAGCACACACACAGAGACACAATCGGCTCAGCCCTCCATAACTCTCTCAACCGTTACCCCAAAACTAACACCCCGACCTACGTCACACCATTACCTCATAATCTCATAGGATTTATATACATACCCAACACTGACTGTAACAAATGCAAGGATATAAACAAACCTTGAGCATCAAACAAATTCGGAAGTGATATTGTAGGGAGATAACTCCGCCATAAGAGAACGTAGAGGCCACTAGAAAATATGGTCAGAATATGACTTTTTAGTGATAATGAAAAATTCATTTTTATCCCTATATTTTGTAGAAATACATATATTTATCATATAATGGGTAGGTTTCTCAGCAGGATAAAGCCAACGGATAAAACGATATCTGTTGGGGTCATATGCGGATAGAGATGCAAATATCAAAGGTCAAGTAGGGACTACTTTCAGTGTTTATAAACAAACATGGCGTCGCACTTGTCATTCGGCGATCGAGTCAGAATTAACCACTGGGAATCTGGATAAACTACAGGGATAATTGCTACAATTATCAAAAGAGCAGTCTAATATACTGAAAATCAGTGTCTAACTGCGACGTAGCGAGGACATTTTATAGGTTTGGGCAACTTTGGAGATATAAATTTCGAAACAATTTTGCGAGGGCACTATGCCTAGCCATGCAGAATCAGTATCCAGAGCTTGTAGACCTCTGTGGCTTGAAACCTTTTCCACAAATTAAAATAGTTGGATGTAGCCGAAATATGTTTGAATTGTTACCTTGTTTCGTTTTGGCGCTGTGTGTACATCTGACTGCACATCTTCCGTTATGACAGGACAGGCCGACTGTCGACAACGTCTGAATGTGGCCGTGACGTCTCATAGACTAGGGTTAGAGTAGCTCCCCTTTGACAAAGGGCAGTTACTCTAGCTGACAGACCGATGGATTGCCGCGAAAGACAAGTACAAACAATTGTTGTTTTGTGTATATGTTGCTTCGCTACTGTATAAGAAACAGATTTCAGTTGGAACTGTATTGGCTACTGTCACTGTCTGACTGACACATCACTTACCCTGTGACGTAATAAATATTAATGCGAGCATTCCCGGAAAACTCGCAATGTTTCGATAATGTTTGTGAGAGAGCCAAGGCTCGCTAAATACAATGTTTATTCGTAATGCAGGATATTTACCATCCCAAAACACACTCGCGTGATAACCTCTATTTATGTGTATACTGAGTTTACACAACATGTTCCTCTATATAGCATCTATAACAAGAATTATGTGGTTTGTTTGTGTCATAATTTCATGACAGTTGGCATTTCCACATTCATGTTCTGTGGAAGGGCTTGAGACATGAGGAGGCCTCAGTAACTAACAAAAAGATGAACATATTGAATTGCCTGAAAGCCTTATTTTAGACTTTCATATATTTTAACTACAGGTATCATGGCATCCCCATCGAACAAAGTGGTTGAAGTCGACGTTCCTGGCGTACAGACCAACATCTTTATGATTGAGATGACCAAGTCAGGGGGGTTAACTCCGGATAAACTGTGTCAGAGAATGAGTCAGGTAACTGATTATTAACCCCTATATCTTTAGCAAATTTCTTTGTGAAAAATAGTAACTGGCCTGAGTATGGATGACTACCATGAGAAAGTACATCCGTTGACTGGTCCAGGGTCCTGTTCCACAAAGCGATCTTACCACCACGATTATCGTAAGTCTATGTAAAGAGTTAGACCACCTTAGTGCCAAGATCGTTCTGTAGTACGGGCCTCATGATCTGAAGAGATGCTATCCCAGGGTTCTATTCACACCTCTTCACTTGTAGAGGTACCAGACCTTTCAGTGCTCAACAGAGAGACCAAGGTTGACAGATTCAAGATGGTTCCTGTGGAATCAGTCAGAACGTGGCAGATGGTTTATGCTTTTCCACTTCTTTGCATTCTCAGTATTCAGGAGGTTAGTGATGGAGTTGGCAGAGATGGTACCGATAGCTCCTTGGTGGCCAGCACAGGAGTGGTTTGCCCTCCACTTGCAGTGGTGCTCCTGCTGTTGCAAGACCTCTTGGTTAAACCACGGTCATATCATTGCTACAATAATCTGAAAGTGCAAGACCTTCATGACAGCAAGGTGTTCTCTCAAAACGCGGGGCTTTTCAAGGTCAGGATGGGGTTTGTGGTGTGGGATGGGGTCATAACGGCTGAATAAAGATAATTAGTTGATGGTTGAAATGGTGCTCACTTGACAAGTCCCACTGTCTTAGCAGACCAAAATATGTTGCATACAGCTTTTGTGAGTGTAAGTATGTTCTGAACATTTGTTGTGTTGGAATCGATACCAGGAGTTTTGTTACAGTGGAACAATATACCCAGGCACAGGAACAAAGCTCATGGTATATCAATTCCAACACAAAAAATGTTCAGTGGGGAACATATTTACGCTGATGCTTTCAGAGAACTATTACTGCAGGTTTCATCTTCCACAGGGGACTGGATTAGAGTTGGTCCTCAACACTCTACGACTGGTCGTAGTAGGCGACACAATGTGATTGCGTGGTCATGCTGTCACCTGGCTGATTGATCATTGCTCATGTGTCAGTAAACTGATTATTTACAAGCTACCACCATATAGCTGGAATATTGCTGAGTGCGGGGTTAAACAACAAACAAAATATATGTATGGTGCTGCCAGATGATTTGCTTACTGACAATATTATCTTGATAGTCGTCTTCAGTCATTCATAATGTCTCAGACCAGTATCCTTTTAGTTGTACTTGTAATTTTTTTCTGAAGTTTGCAATGTTTATGGACCTGAGAAGATCCGGGGTAGAATAGGTTTTCAGCAACCCATGCTTGCCGTTAAAGGCAACTATGCATGTCGTAAGAGGCAACTAACTGGATCGGGTGGTCAGGCTCGCTGACTTGGTTGATGCATGTCATTGTATCGCAAATGCGTGGATCGATGCTCATGATATCAATCACTGGATTGTCTGGTCCAGACTCGATTATTTACAGACCGCTGTCATATAGCTGGAACATAGCTGAGTGTGGCATTAAATAACAAACTAACCAACCAAATGAAATGTTTATGACAGCTGCATTTCCATTTAAATTTTTATTATCCAGGTTACGGATGCCGAGAGGGGTCATCTAGGATCTAGTGTATCAGCACTAATGTACCCATTTTCAGAAACCGGGGTCCGTCTGGTCACCCACAATGACATCACTGACGAGGATGTGGACCGCACAATCAGCAAGTTTCAGTATGTCCTCGCGGAACTGTCACAGTGATCAGAATGCATGATACTTCAGGATCAGCACTGAACTTTTTGTTGGAGGTATCAGAGCTTTACCCCATGGTCATTCAGCAAGGGTTTGTTTGTTTGTTTGTTTGTTTGTTTGTTGTTTAATGCAACCCTCAGCAATACTCCAGCAATATCCCAACTGAGTCTGGACCAGAATCCAGTGATTGTAACCATAAGGTTACAAGGACCAATTCTTACCCTGAATCCCCATGGCATAATTCAGCTAATGGCTTCTACTGCTGATACTCACAGAAGTGATGACAATACCTGCATTGTGACCCGGGAATAGGAGTGAGTGGTTGGGACCAAGTGTTTGTAGGGTAGAGTTTTTATTTTGTTTATTTGTTGTTTAACGCCGCACTCAGCAATATTCCAGCTATATGACAGCAGTCTGTACATAATCGAATCTGGACCAGAAAATCCAGTGATCGACATCATGAGCTTCGATTCACACAAATGGGATAGATGAAATGCATCAACCATGTCAGCGAGCCTGACCATCCGATCCCGTTAGTCGCCTCTTTAAACAAGCATAGTCTCCTTTCATGGCAAGCGTGGGTTGCTGAAGATCTATTCTACCCCGAATCTAGGGGAATATTGCATCAGTGCCTTGTGTGCACAGGCAAACTACCTGTCAAAATATTTGGATCTCTGCACATCGTCAATGCCAGTGTCTACCAGAAGAAGACTTGTGGAAGTATCTGCAAAGCGTCTACTCAAATGACATCACTGTTTGAGATCTCACCAGAGTTAAGGGATATAGTCAAGTTAGAATTCTTGTATTTACTCAATTATGCTCAGAATGATTTGTGCTCCTTCTGTCACAATGAAAAGGAAACAATTACTCACTTGTTTTGGGAATGTGATGTAATAAAACAATTTTGGGATGAAGTGTCATTGTGGATCGACCAGTGCTTTCATGTTTATAATATGACATTTTGTGCAGAATTGATACTTTTTGGAGTTAAAGAGAACATAAAAACAGATAAAGTGTTTGATTTACTTTTACTAATTGCCAAATACTATATTTATAGATGCAAATTCCAAAATACAAAACCTTATTTTCATGTTTATGAAAAGGAAGCTTTTTCACGATACAACATTGAAAAAGATATTGCTTTCAAGACAGGTAATCAACAGAAATTCTATGGTGCTTGGATGCTGTATCATCAACTTTTCGAAAATGAGGAGCAGCTTTCAATTTAATTTTAGTTTTGTACTTAAGATTTTAATGTTTGAGACCATGTACTTTCCTAAACTGCAATATGATGTATAAACAAGAGTGAATGTGTGAGTGAGAAGTATGTTATTTTCTGTATAAAAAAAACAACAAAGCAAGATGTACTGATAAGTTGTGCTTTATGTCATGGGCTTTCTGCTACCCTGGGCGGAAGCCCATTTATGTAACAGGTGTGTCTTTCTAAAAAAAATAAAAGAAAAAAAAAGACGTTAGAATTCTGTTGTGCCATATTTTATTATCTCAGCTAATCTGTTTAGTTTTTGTCACCATAGCTCTTGTGATATTGCTGCTGTGGCGTCAAGTCTGAATTCACTCACACACTCCCTGTTGAGTTGTGGGGTGGTGGTAGGGTAGCCTAGTGGTTAAAGCATTCGTTCGTCACATAGAAGACCCTGGTTGAATTCACAACACGAGTACAATGAGTCAAGCCAAATTCTGGTGTCCTGTGATAGGTTAAAAGCATTGTTTACATGTCTTTGCCTTTTGTCTTTTAATACACTTTTAGTACCATTGTTGATACACATGACAGTTGGCTGAAGTTTAGCAAATATTTTGTATGTGTAAAAATTATATTTGTAGCAATATTCTCATTTTGTAACAATTCAATATTAGGAGACATAATGTACACTGTTTCACTTTCGATACAGATATTTCCCAAGACACACAAAAATGATTTTTGTATGTCAAGTGTATATTTAAATGTATCTTACATATTTGATTATCCCTATCAAAAGTTGAGTAGTGTATAAAATTTCAGTTTTCAGTGAGCGCTAAAGCTAGCAGTCTGGGAATGAGATTGACTTTTTTGTTTGTGAACTTTTATCCAACTTTTGTATTTGAACTCCGATAAGATTACATTTGGGTTGCGCAACTTAAAATGATGCTCCTTGGGAATGATCTCTGATAATCAGTAGTTTAAGTGCAATTGTAATGAAATTCAAATTGCCTTGGTCACCTAAGAGTATATGAATTTTGAATATCACCTTTCACAATATGTTAGTTTGGTAGAGAACAGGATCAACAACGTACAGACAACTAAGGGAAGCAAACACCCTTACCACAGACATCAGTTTCCTCCCATGTGTGTGAGTATAGGTGCACATCTATTGTGATTTTTTGCATTGATAAAATTTTAGTTTTAGTATTGATAAAATTTCTATTTTTGCATTGAAAAAAATTGATTTTTAATTTTTAGAATAAATGCCTCTAAAAGAAGTCAAAATAAGTTTTTTGTTTGACTATTAGAGAAAGTAAATAAGTTGCTGAAAAGGTGTGATTTGCAAATGTTATATTTGGGCTAAAACTTTCTTAGAAAAGTACTCTCGTACTTTTTCTAAGATTCTGTACTTTACTAAGAAACATTTGTTACATTTGACCACTTTCTAAACGGCATTGTGTGTTCAAGGTGAAATTAGATCAACATAAAATGAGTAAGTTTAACGAACATGCTACAAACACATGTCATTGTAATAATAATTTCAAACAAAAGCGACTGAGGAGATAATCCGGGTTAAAAGCAAAAATATATAGACTTGAAAAGATTAGCTTTAGTATTGTTATGTGCACAAAAGACTTGCATGTAGGCCCTCAACAATCTATGGCTGTCTAACAAATGGGAGGTAGCCTGTACATCAGGTCAGGTTATTATATTATGGTGTTTGATGATCAATCAGCTGGCGGTAGTAAAATAAAATACAAATTAATTTGTGCTGCTCAGTATTTCTGGTTTTATTTAGCATGAAGTTGTTTTGGTAATGGGTTTGTTGGGAAAATAAAACACTAAAACTTCATGAAGATGTTTAATATGTGTTTACTTGTGAGAAGGATTTGTTCTATTTATAAGAGGTCTTAGTGGCCAGAGACAATATACCGTATTCGACATAATAAGCGCCCATGGCGATATTTGCTAACATATTGGCTAGTGAACAATCCCAGTTAGCACCCTCTCTGATTGATCAATGTACACAAGACTTATTTATTCGTGTATAATACGCACTTGGGTGTTATATGCACCCTTAATTTTTGGCAATTAAATTCTCGAAAATATATCTATTGTGTATAATACGCACAGATTCCTCTTTTATATAATTTCAGGCTGTCAGCATAAACCACAAAATTTACAATCTTTCAACTCTGTTTTTTATCTCACCAAAATTATCTTTTAATAAGAGCCCCCTATTTCTAATTTTGAGGTGAGGTGAAATGGGGTTTAACGTCGCGTCCAAGATTATTGCACTTATATAGCGACGTGCATGCACGTGTATGTGTGTGTGTGCGGCTGCTTGTACTAGTCCGGACTGATGCCGATTTATAGTGCTAGCACACTGAGATACCATGCCGCAGTTTAACATGAATACCCCACTCAGACACAGTATACTGACTCCGAGCCGACCAGTCCTTGTTTAAGCCCCTTAATGCCGAGCGCCAGACAGGGTAACAACAAGTACCATCTTTTAACGTCTTTTGGTATGACGCGGCTGGGGATCGAACCCCGGACCTTCCGCTCTCCGGGCGGACGCTTTACCATTAGACCACGGAGGCGGTCGTTCTAATTTTGAGAGCGCCCTGGACGCTTATTAAGTCGAATACGGTACAATGCATTTGATCATCAGGTGATAACAAACTTGGTCAATAAAAATGTGAAATTTAAGATATAACAACTCAAGGCGTGATGATTTACCATTTAAATTACATTTTCTGTTCTGCTGTTTATATGCAGAGATAAGTTTTAATAGTGTAAGAATGTTCTAACATACCTATTTGAAAACACTCTTTGTTCTTACTTTTACTTAAGTGTAATCATTGCCTTAAGAAAGGCCTTAAATGTGGTGGCTCAGTCCATGATTCATAATATTGTCTACAACATTGAGACGGTTTCCCTTCACACTGTGATGCCAGGCAGGAACCATTTTTGTTAAATATATACCACTCAACATGTAATTTGGATACTTCCTATTTTTTAATGAAACACAAAAAACAACAAAATGTTAATATGTAAATAGTCTGAAATAGCTTAGTAACTCTATCAAATGTAGATTAGTACAGTATTGCATGATTGAAGTCCCTAGAAGAATCCTATTTCAAACAAAATTGAGAGCCTCTGGATGGATCTTGAATAATATGTGAATCAAATGTGACCAAATAATGGTATGCTGTGTTTCTATGATGAATATTTAAGGTGAAGTTGCACTTGTCCTGTGAAATTTTCTTCCATTTTATGAATGTTCCAGAATTGGTGTTATCAAAAATCATATTTCTGTAAATGAAATAGTTACTACTAGAAATGTGGTAGGGTCTTATGCTTGATTCATTTTGTCATTAATTTGCATAATAGACTAAATTTGGTATTGGTCAACAATGGTGAGTGATGATGATGTTTTGACCTTGACATCCAGACATTTGAGTCCGTGAATGTTGTTGCCACTCCGCACAATCCCAGCAATATGGCCGCAGCCTCTGAATTAACATTAAGTCTGGGCCAGACAGACAGACAGCATGAACACCTGTCCACACTGTTGGTTAGGATGACACTCTTGTCTCATTATTCCGCTTTGAGCAAACAGTTGGGTATTTTGGGGACCTTTTCTGCACTGAATCTCCCACAGGGATGATATGTTTGAATGATCAGTTTACTTTATTATTTGCTGGGCAAAATATCTACTCCATTGCTGCTCAGCATCTTCATTTAAGGATTCGACAATCCAGTGATTGATGACATAAGCATCTATCCACACAGTTGGGAAAGGATGAAATGCAACCAAGTCACCAAGCGTAGCATCTTCCGGAGGCAAGGGCGTTAACTGACTATAAAGTCTAGTTTCCACTCTTGCCAAACTAGGCTGGAATTACCAGGCTCGATCGCAGGAATTACCAGTGGCTATTGCGAGTTATGTCCCTTCTATGGTCTCCTAATGACTAATAAGATTCAATGTCTTTATATCCCTTGCATTTGCTTCAACAAAATGCCGGCGCTTAGTCAAGACGATCTGATCAATACCCAAGATCTATATCGTAATAAGACGGCCTTACCTGCGAAGTGCATCAAATCACTTGAGCAGCTTGATTAAAAACATGAAACGATTTGCAAAATATCATTCGACGCCAAGTTGGCAGTACACATGCATTGCAAGTCCTGTTGACCAAAATCTGCATGTTTTTTTATGAACCGGGTGTCTAGAGCATTGCATGATTTTGATTGGACCTATGCATA